CTTCCCATTCTCCCTTTATCATTCCTTTCCTTCCATCCTTTCGCCCTTCCCTTTTTCCTGCTTTCCTTTATTCCTCGTGTCCTCCTTGCTTCCTGTCCTCGCTTCTCTCCTTTCCTTTTTCCTTCCCTCCCTCCCTCCCTACCAACCTACCCTTTTACCTCCCTCCCTCCACACCTGCCTGCCAGCCTGCATACCTCCCCCCCTCCCCCCTCCCTCCCCACTAACGCCGTCCTCCTCCCCCCGCAGTGCACGTTGAGGAGGCGATGACCTGGCGCGACGACGGCTACGTGGAGGCGCTGCAGCAGGAGACCATCATCCTGGCCAAGCGCGTGATGGCCGCCCGCAGCCGCCTCCTCCTGTCCACCTGCTTCGACGCCTCGCCCACCCTGCAGGACCACCCGAGCTTCGGCGAGGCGGTCGCGGGGGCGGCGGAGGATGACGGGCTGGAGGACCTGTCGGTGATCGAGGAGGAGGAGGAGGAGGGCGCGGGGGGTGACGCGGCCTCGGGGGAGACCTGCTGGGGCGGGTCCCCTCGCATCAAGGGCCTCTCCGAGATGGAGTCGAGAAGCTGCTGGGCCGCCCTGAGGCGCACGCAGGAGGACGCAGGAGGCGGCGCCGCAGCGGGCGGGGACGGCGACGGCGGCGCCCGAGGAGCGAAGCCCGAAGGCGACAAAGGGGAGCCGAAGAAGAGGCCCGACAAGGGGGAGACGAGCGACAGCGACCGAGGACAAGGCTTGGAGGCCGTCGGCAGGAGCGACAGGATCGAGTCAGTGGTAAAGATTAGCGAGGGCTTCAACGTGGAGGACTGGAGGCGCCTGAAGGAGTCCTTTATCCTCTGACTAGAGGTCCTCAGCGACGCTGCTCTCCTCACTGTCTTCATAACACATATCCTCAACCGTAGTCGACACGAGAGCTTCCTTCACACTCTCGCCGTGTTATTTAGTCAATCGTTCAGTCAGTGTTACCGAAGTAGAGCCTCCTCAGCCCCCTTCCCTCGCTCTCCACCTGAGCCAAGACAACCCCACCCATCCCGCGAAGCCCTTTTGTTGTCTCTGCAGGTTTAGTGATAGTGAAGAAGCTACCGCATACACTTCATACATATATATAATCCTTTGTATACCAGGGGGAGGTTTCTCGAGGCCCATACACAGACTCAGAGACAGTGAGAAAGCAAGTGTTTGATATCAGTGGGTTCGTAAAGCGCACAAGGTTTGGCTGTTAAAGTCCACATATTCGCTTGACAAGCAGAATAATGGTCAAGGAACAAGGATTGTGTGAGTGACCCCTGGAAAATTATAAATCGTTTTCTATAATCTTAATAATATGGCATTTTATTTGACTTTTTTCACTATGAGACATGTAATGAGTGAAAAGATACTACATTTATATTTGTGGAATATTTATATATATACAGTATATCTATACATATGTAAATTAAGTGACAGAGATGTTGAAGTAACCATGTTTGGAGAGGCGAAAAGTAGACTTGATTAGGAAACAGAATTATATTAATTCTGCAGAATAATTGTGTCCTGTACATAGCCTGGAACAAGAGTGGAAGAAGCGGTGTTGTGTAATTTTATGTATAAAAAAGAAGAAAAAATAAATACCCTCATCCCCTTAAAAATGATATAAAA